GAATTGCTACTCTCTATTGACAAGATTTAGGTCATATGAGAAGTGGCCAACTTCCACCCTGTTGGAAACGGCCAGCGTGAGTACTGGAAGGGGCACAGAAAGGCGATAGTGCTGGGTAAACATATTAATATTATCTTCCCAATGCAGGAATACAAGTCCCTTTTCTCTAGCACCAGGTTGAAAATCTTATTTTTGTATCACAAAGACCGTGTAAAATTCGAAAACACACCCCCTCCCACTTTCTCTCAACAACCCTGCCACCAAAAAACATGAGAATATTTAGTATTGGAAGACCACAAAAATACCAAAACAATTTTTTTTAAGGCAAACAACACTGTAACCCAGCTTTCAACAATTGTAAGATTCTTTTTATTAAATTAAGAAATGTACAATACATGTATTACCCTAGCCTGACATGAACAGCATATGCACAAACTTATGCACGTATGCGTGCTCACGCACGCACACACACACACACACCACGTGCGTGCTCTTAAAACAACTATCTCACAGACATTACGCAATATGATTACAGTCTAATACTATACAAAGAAACAAAACAATCTCTGCAAAGTTCTAGAAAGTCTTATTGCACATGTACAATACAAAAGTTTTGTCCGACAAACTCCAAAACAGACGAAAGAACTTACACGTCCATCATTCATAGCACCTACTTGAACTTGTTAGGTCCGGCCCAGGCTGCTCACAACGGTACAATTTCACCATCCCAGAACGCACACCTACTCGATAAAACTATCTCCACAGCATGGGCATCAGTTGCATGCTCTCTGAGTGTAAAGGGAAAGGCTCAATCATGACACCACAGACGCCCATGGATAAATAAGGGCCTATGATGAAAGAGTGTTGTGAGTTAAGAAGAGTGGAGGTGTTTTATAATAAATGACTTGCAGCCAGGTAGGCCTACATGGAAGACCATGTTGCTGAAAAGGAGAATTAAAAGTTGGAAAAAAAACCCCAATTCCTTCGAATGAAAAAGAGTAGAGGTGTTTTGGTTTTGTCTCTCTATAGTGATAGTGCAGCATGGTACATTACATGCGGAGTGGAATGGCATGGTATGGCATAGCGGGGGTTTGACTCCCATTTTGCACACATCACAATCATTTATGAGGCCAGACATTTGACCAAATCAAGTGAGCATGGTGGCTAACCCTGAAAACTTTCAATAAAATACACACCCAAATTACCCCAAAATGCCTCCTGTACGATTCACAAGAGGGAAGGCCATACAGTTGATACATCAACATTTTAAAAAAAATCATAAGATGTAATTTTCCATTCAGCTAGATGACAAAAGCAGTGAGATCAATAATTATTATTATTATCATAAAAACAATCAACAAAATATCAATAGCATTGATAATCATAATAATCATCATCATCACTGCCATCATCAACGTTACCATAATTACTAATATTAATAGCCACTATGGCGATGAAGCTGATGACAATCATGGTTATGGCGACATGATTATAATGATTACAACAAAAATTTAAAATAACAAACAATAAAAACATCAATAATAGATTTTGTCACACTAGACATGTACTAAAGCAAAACTCAAGACATTCCCAATTCTGTGTACATGTTCATCTAAAAAACGGCACAAACATCTGGATGGTTGAGAAAGGGGAACTTCATATTGTGTTGGTACAGGTTTTTATAACACTATTGCCTCTGCTTATTCTAGACACACTGGCTCCAGGGAAGAAGAAACAATGCGGAAAATATACTGCATGTATCTAGCCCACACCAAAGCCCCAGTCTATTATTCAACCACTGTGGGTTTATGAATGCGTCCGGACCTGCAAGGATGTTGCTTTTGCTGAGTTTCAATAACAATTCACTAATATAAGAATATAAGAAATTTGACGGGAAGGAGGAGGAGGAGGAGGAGGAGGAGGAGGAGGAGGAGGAGGAGGAGGAGGAGGAGGAGGAGAAGAAGAAGAAGAAGAAGAAGAAGAAGAAGGAGGAGGAGGAGGAGGAGGAGGAGGAGGAGGAGGAGGAGAAGAAGAAGAAGAAGAAGAAGAAGAAGAAGAAGAAGAAGAAGAAGAAGAAGAAGAAGAAGAAGAAGAAGAAGAAGAAGAAGAAGAAGAAGAAGAAGAAGAAAAAGAAGAAGAAGACCGCTACACGAAACAGAAATTGCCGTCTTCCCGGCGGGAGGGGAGCTAAAAACGGGTGAACATTACGTGCTCCTCTCCCCTATTCGGATTTACGTCCCCTCATAGGGTGCGCTTCGCGGGTTTTTGTCGCTGTTTCCAATGCTTCTATCATCGTTCAGGGACGGCCCTCGGGGGCCCCCCAGCTAACCAAGTGAAAAAAAAAAAAGAAAAAAGGTTTTAAAAAAAACAAACGGGGGTGGGGGGGTCCTAGTTGCAAATGAGTCCCAGAAAAACGAGAAAGATGGGGAAAAGACGGAAAAAGCCTTAAGGTTCACTGACCTTCCCATAGATGTGGAGAAAAAGACCGACAGTGCCACAAATGAATTTTAACCAACCATCTTCTCCGATTGAGGATACACGTATATATTATATCTAGTAGAGGTTTTATGGCGCTCGCAACTTCATACGGTTCTATGAGCGCCAAGGGGTGGGTGTTAAAAGAGAAGTCTTTACAGGGAATCGGGCGTACTCTGTTCACCTCTCTAGCTTTAACAGTTAACAGCTCAACGTCTGTTTTAACTTTCAAGGCACCCCAGAAATAGCGGATAACAAGAGTGTGACAAACATTCAAAAGAAGTACGGTAGAGGAAAATGACGATAGTAAGGATTAGTTTACACACATGGACGACCAGAACGTCGTAAAGCGGACATTACAATTATTTCTTCAGATGAAGTATAAGAGCCGTTAACAGGGTAGTTTTCACATTATAATGCCATTTATTTGTACCATTTACTCGAACAATGGGGCTGACTGTCTGCTCGCGTCATTCTAAGCATAACTGGGATGTGCTTAGAACTGTCCAGGGGAGGCATTTCGTTTCAAGAAAAATCATTACTTGTACGTGCAAGTCTGTACAGTACTCTAGTAACTACCGTATCGTTTTTGTTGTAAGTGAAAGACTAAGTTAACTCTACGTACGTGGCCTAATCATCATTGTCAGCAGCCACAAGAAAAGACTCATGGGACAATGCATTCCTCCTTAGTACATCTTATCTTACCTCTGCATAAGTATGCAGATTGAGTTTCTTTTCTTCAGATTGACACTTCTTTCATTCTGTTTGAGTCAACAGTCCGCATGTACGTATTCATATATGTAAAAATCTGAGGTGCATTGCTTTAAACAAATTTGACACTAGAATAAAGCAACAGAACATCCCTTTAAAAAATGTTGAAAATGGCAGCATGCAATAAAGAGATGAAACGAAGTTTTAGTAGAGCAACCTGCAGGGCACCAGCAAGAGAATTGTTTTACTCACTCTGGCAGGGATGCGTGCAAAAGTTCAACACTTATTCCACGTTCAGCGTTCCTGAAAATTGTTTCCTTGCAACAGCTCAATTGTTTGGTTGAGCATAGCACAGTAAAAAAAAAAGGCATCAGGACACATTACAAACATATCTTCACAAACAGTGACATCTTCTTCTTTGTGCTTTTTCACAAAAAATTGACCATGCATGATGAAAGATCTCCTGATTTTCGATCAAAACTTTTTGACAAAAAGAAAACTAGGAATTAAATAAAGCACATACCTTATGAGTGTACATATTTTCAAAATTACGAAATTTTGAAAACCAAATCCAAGCAGATTTCGTCCACTTTGCAGATGAAACTGGATTATGCACTAAAATATTGGAGAATTTGAACAATTTTGTGCTGTCCCAAAAAAAAAAGGATATGTTCGCATATGAGAACAACTGGGAAAAATATGATATTATGATATACATGGCTATGTACTCCATAGCAGATGTGTAAAGAAAGCAATGCGGCCGCGCATCCCTTTTATTTCTTTTCTTGAACCATTCCACTGTTCTTATATCTGCTTCTTGCACTTGACTGACATAGCAGAGTGAAAAGTGATGGAAAAATCAACACGACTAATTACAGTAATTGTATTAGTAATGTAAGTGTTTTACAGCCCAATCGACACTGTTTAAATTATTTAGGAGGAAAGCTGTTTCGACCCTGCATGTCAGGGTCAACCCAAGTTGAGAGGGATACAATATCCCATAACTGTCTTATCTACCTTGTCCTTTTATTTCTAGCAAAAGCAATAACCAAGATGTTTGACAGTTAAGAAGAAAATACAACCCAGAACAAAAGGTTGACAAGTGCTGACTCTTTACATAGTCTAATACTAATAATAACATACAGGTCACTTGCAAGTCAAGAAAAAAAGAGTAAGATTCATAAAGGAATGCAACCATCAGTACAAAACTCTCTCCCTTTCTCTCTCTCTCTCTTTGTAAGATATATATAGACATACACATGTCAACACACATATATACATAAAGGCACCTATTAGCTTTAAATATAATCATTTAAATTACACTCATGATTATAAACGCCTTTACTTTAAGTTTAAGTTCTATCATAATCCATACTGAGCTGTAACACTTGAACCATCATTTTTTTTTTTAAAGAGGACAACACTAAACATAAAGGGTTTACGTCAAAATGGCCAGTTATTTATTGTCTAAACTTTTTTTCCCCCAAGTGTTGGCTCACATGGCTTCACAATAAACAATTCGTTATTCCAATTTACTGTCTCAGTCTCTAGGGTGGGTGGGGTTGGGGGGATATATGCAGCATGGCAGCCTGACAGGTTTTCCAACACTCACTACCACTATCATCCACACAACACAAAGAAATCTATCAACGATAAAACAGAACACATGGCACATATGGAATGATGAATGATCGTGAGATTTAAAACAAACCTCAGAAATTAGTACAAGACAGGTAGTTTTTGTATACCACAAGAAATAACAAAAGGGTTTTCAATACAAATCACACTCGATATCAAAGAGCTCACATTTACAGATGTGCACCATTATAATGGTGGGCTCTCTGGACTTCACACAATAACTCCCTCAGAACATGTCCAATCCAATTTATCAACTCAGTCTACAAAAGACCACAGATCGTTACAGCATCTTAGAAGCAAACTTCTATCGTTAACGCATTCCATCTTTGCTGACTGCCAATACCCATTTGCAGATGGGAAAAACTGAGGAAACCAAGGTAAAGAACCTTTCCGACGGGTACAACAGTCAACATGATAAAGTTGCAAATAGAGCGTATAACATTTTATTTATTTATTTATTATTGCAAGTCCAATGCCTCACAGCTTGAACTACGGTGCCCCTTGTATCAGTGTCAGTCACAGAGTGCCCAATAAATAGATTGCTTATAAACAGTAGTACAGGAGGTTACAAAAATGGAATAAAGGCCCCCCAAAAAAAGTCAAGTAAACATATGGAAAAAGTAACAGCAGAATATTTAGTACCAGTAGTATCACATAATTGAAATCTCCAGTTTTACAATGTTCTACTTCACTTTATTGTACATCAAATTTTTCACATTTCAAGTTCAAGAAAACAGGTGACAAGACAATAAGATCAATTTCAATTCTGGTCAACACTGACACAAAGACAATAGTGAGTATTTTGAATGTGGCTCAGGAATGGAGCTTTTGAACAAAACATAATCACATTATTATTGAGTGAGGTCTGAATCCCCCCATCCGCGCGAACAATTATTGTGTCAGTCAGTTATAATAATGATACGATAATTGCATTTATTTATATTGTGCATATTTACACTCTACAGCATGCTCTATATAAGCTCTAAGACTATTATTACCCCACAAACCCAAACACACTCAGAAACATTCTCGGCTTCCCAGGAGGGATACAGTGAAAAACTGCAGATTGCAAGCATTCAAAAGCCGAGTTTGAGAGGCTAACCACTAGGCCACTGACATTAGTTTAGTATACTTCCCTTCACAGATCAAGATGTCAGTGGAATTTTAGCCCTAATGTAAAAATCTTCCGTTCCTAATAAAAATAAAAATCAGATGTAATCATTTGCAATCTGAAAATACTTAACCGACCTTCAAATAACTAGACCTTTGATTTGTTTAAGTTTAAACTTCAAAGATATATTTTTTTTTAAAAGAGAGAGAGAGATAAGCCCCCAAAAGTCTGAGCATCAATGAAAGAACTGACAAGACACTCTTAGACATTGAGGCAAACAGCATTGCACCAAGGACATTTGTATCATGGCAATGGCAAGAGAAAGCTAAACAATAAGAAAAACATGATCACCTGTCCACGGTCACCGTTATTCCTGGCTGAGGGACTTTCGAATAATTACCATCATGCAGTGCTTACAACAGCAAATGGTGAAAAGGAGAGGACAATCTCACTGGTCACACTTGCCATAACTCCCCCCATCCCCTCATCCTTGGTTGTTTTTTTTAGCAGGAGCATGAGTGGTGCAAATAAAAAAATGATGCAAAATTAACAAATCAGTGTTACAATTTACAAGCTAAATGTGTATTCTTCAGTTAATATTTTCAGCACCTGAATGAAATCTGAATTCATTCTATGCCTAGAAAGAATAACCTAGACATTGTTCTAGGAACAATAATTTAGTTATTGAAATTGAGCACGGTCTTAAGCACCTTACAGGAAATACAAATTTTAATTCGATGATTTATAGTCATGCACAAATTTTTCACCATCAATGAGACACACTATTTCCCTACAGCTGGCAAAAATACATAATTCTTTCCACGATATTTTCTGTTCTGTGCACCATTGTGCACTAAAACTTTTTTATTAAACAAAAATGTAAAGAAAATAATAAAAAATCATTCATATTGTACTTTGGCAATCTTAAAAATAAAAAGCTAAGTTCTGACAAAACTTTTAAAAGGCTCACCTCAATAATCAAAATTAACACATGACGAAACTCATAAAATGAAAGCCGAACACAAAAATAAATATGTCCTCCTCACAGCCATCAGTGCATTAACACATTTCTGGCTTAATAGAACAATCCTTTGCGAACCATAAGCATGACAAGCGCACACACACTTCTATAATCCTTGAGCACCGAGGCAATGGCAGAAAAAGAAAAACGCCTCCAAACATTCAGGGTAACTGTCGAGTTGCAATAGGATCTCTGGAACAAGCTGAGCAGAACATTAGCAAACATTTAGGAATGCCATCTGCTGGCTGCACTCGAAATAATGGAAATTTTTATGCTGATTGGGTATATTTTTATTCCTCTGTTGATACCATTTAGATCAGATTTTTAGACTGGCATCTTTAACCCTGCTTTCAGGATAAATCGGGGTAGGGTTGAGCCAGATATCACATTCTGGGAGAAAGACAGAGAAACTCTAGAACATACTTTCTACGTGTAAGGCCCGATCCCAATACTTCTGAATAGAAGGGTAAGGGCCATGCACAGGTAAAGATGTTCAGTATAACACAAAGGAAACAACAGGACTAAAACCTCCAAATTATAGTCTAGACCAGTGACTGTGGCACTTCGCCATCACAACTTTCCAAAGTGGGAAGGATTTTTATCGAATATCTCCGGCTTTCTGCTGAGATGTTGTATCCCTCTCAGCCCAGACTGGCCCTGACAGGCAGGGTCAGAAGCTTGCCTCCTAAATGATCTTATTCGTGTCAACAAGGTTGTAAAATCACTTACATTGAAAACAAAATTCCAAATAGTCAAGGAAGCTACATACATGTAACAAGCCCTCCAGAACACAATAAATTCAAAACCTGCTACCAACCAACTTGCCCCCTCTACCAGGATGTGGTGTCCTAAACTTGCTAAGCTGGCCAGTTTTTAAAAAATGTAAATGTTACTTTATTACCAAAAAGTTTTGAAAAAACACAAAATTTTGTACAAAAAATAGTGAGAGAGGAAAGTTCCACAACTGGAAAACCCGGAAAAAGTGCCACCCCAACAGAATACAGGAGGAATTCGGTAAAAAAATTCACTTGTATATTGAGATGAAAAAGGGACCACAAGTTCCAAATCACATTCCACGAGAATCCCGACTGAGTACAGATACCCCATCTTCCAACTTTTCCCGACCATGAAAGTGGAAGGTCCGCATGGCTCTCTCTGTAAACACAGAATTGCTAAAAGCTGGACACAGAAAGCATGCATCATAATTGTCTTGCGCTATATATTATTATTCAGCACAGACCAATTCCTTTCATTCATTTTTTAGGCTCGAGTAGAGAAGCGAAGTAACCTATCAAATATTTTACTAAAATTAAGCAGACTCGGATCAGGGAATCCTCAGACCACCAACTGAAACATTTTTTATTACAGTTAAGGTTATATATCTAAACCAGAATAGAGGAAAAGAAAAATGACCATGAATGAAGAGATGCCGTGTAGCTGTCTATGACATATGGGGTCAAGAGAACAATCAAAATGGTTTTCACTGTATTGAATTGTTTCGATAAACATTTCAATGTGGATATCATTACAAAAGACCTGAGGCCTACCAGAATACAGGCTGCCTGTGTGTGTAGTGCTCATTCCACATCTTTACAGCAGCATTTCCTACACTCTTGCATACTCACATCCATGCACAAAGGGACTTGTGGACAGTCAGAACAAGGTGTCTCATCAAATCAACTCCTGGTTCTGCTTTGTTTTTTAAAATGAAGCCTTTATTTTAATAACAGACTCTCTGTCTACTACTGCACTAGCTATGTAGACAAGCCCCATTTGAGCCCTACAGATACAGATTGTTTCTGGGCTTCCTACAACAACTATTGCCACAGAAAAGGAAGGGGAACGGGGTTTTGTTATGTGTGTGTTCCTGGATTCTTTTACTTGAGTCATTTCATTTTAATTTTAGTTTTTTGGTAATTGTTTTACTGTGTTTGCAAATGCAAAAGGCCATATGAGAACATCCTTTCATTCTTGCATCAACAGAGCATTGTAACCTGACTCAGTAGAAAAGTAATTACTCAAACAAAAACTGGAATATTGCTGTCAAATAAAAAGCTATACTTTCAGAAATATGTGGATTATGCTCTTGACCTGTACATTGTTGGATAGCTCTGCTGATTTGCAGGTGAAGACAGGTTTAGTGAGTGACCTTTTTCTTTCATCAAAACTGATTTTTCTCATTGCCATCCCTCTTTCTAACTCTTGTTGTGCATGTTTATTTATATTTAAAATTAATCCTTGTTTTATGTCAGAGTATATTCCTCATCCAATTTTCTTCAATCTGATAAAGCGCATGTTAGCTTTTGAGTGATAGTTACGTTTTCATGAAGTTATTATGTACATCACCTGAATAGGTAAAATTGAGCCAAAAATTATTAACGTCTAGACCCCCGAAAAACTAAGTCTGTAAAAAGTTAAGCAGGCCTACCTGACAACTGCCATGCACTTCCACAGCTTAACTTTCAGTGGCAGTGACAACCTTCTTCTGACTGGTCCTGCCCCAAATCTTGTATCACATTATGGTTTTGAATCAGACACAATCCTCATCTCCTCCACACTATTGCTGAGTGCTTACAAAAACAGCACTCATGGTCCCAAAAGTAAACAAACTTCATACAAAAAAAATATACACAAATAAATTATTGTCCCACTGGCATCATCAAGATTTGGCTGGGTCTACGGTCTCTGACGAATTCTCGCGTAAATCCTCAATCTGGTCCGAAAGATCGTGCTCAAGTTCATCTGGACTCGACAGCTCTGAGCTAATGACACCACTGTCTGGGCAGTTGTTAGAGAAATCTGAAGCCTCTGAAGACCCAGTGGTGGCCGGGGTGGCTGACAACGACGGAGTCGCTGACGAGCTGGTGTTGTTAGTCGTTGTTGTCTTCGTCTCGAGAGGTAGGGTGGAGGGCGGCGTGGGTTGATTTACAGTCGCCACGTTTTCTCGGGCAGACGCCATCACAGCAGAGAGCTTACTGAGCCTCACTACTTCCTGCGACATCAGCTCCAGGTCCTGGCAGTGAGGAAACAGTTGTGTTAAAGAAAAGAGAGAAAGGCTACCAATCGCTTTCACAGTAACAAATCAGGTACATTCTTTTAGCTCAATTCACTCATTCACCAGCCTGTGGATGTGCATCCATCCATTCACTCACTCATTTCATCCTTCATTCAAAAGCAAATTCCCTTCTTTCCAAATTCATCCACCTTTGAATGAAAATTCATCCATCCCCTGAATTTCTTCATTTATTCAATTATTTATTGTTACCATCCACCCTTCATTCATCCACTCACCTGTTGCAGATGCATGTTCTTGGTGAGCGTCTCCTCCAGCATGCTCTGAAGTTTCTTGTTCATGTCCTGGGTATGTTGTGCATGCTCACTGTTCTTGTTCACCATATCCATCACCTTCTTCAAGCTCAGCTTTTCCTCTTGCGACGACTGGGACTGCTGTTTGGGGCCTGAACAGATGTTACACATAGTGTCACGTATTGTAATATCATTCAAGAATGGAGCAGAAATCCCATATAAGTGTTGCATATCCCAATTGCAATGTGCTTCATCTTTTAAAAAAACATCTTCCCATGTCCAGAAGAAACCAAAAGTAAAATGCACTCTTATAGACCATACAAAAAGAAATTATTATACAATCGTTTTGCTGTCTGCTGTTCACCCTCTTAACCTACAACAATTTCAAAATAGTTCGGGTTTGAAGAGGGCTTTCTTGACCAAGTGGCCAGTAGGGACAAACCCAATTTATTTTACAATATATTATATACAGTGCTTCCACCAGCTGTAGCTGAAAAGTAAGGAAAATTCTGCTGGGGGTCTCTGCGGCCCCCAGCAGGGTACAGGGACAGCGTCCCGGTGGGGGTTCAGGGGGCGAAGCCCCCGAAGAAATTGAAATTTAGTGCTTTTAGAGGGTTGAAAATGGCATTTGGGAGCCTGTTTGAAGAGATTGCCAACAACCCATACTACCTATTTTTTCACCCAGATTTTGTCTTGTTTAATTTCGTCACCAATATATCTTTCCATTGCTGGCAATGTTTAAAAGCAGGTTCCCCTTCCATTGCTACTATAATTCAATTAATTTGTCATCGCACCTTTGATACTGATAGAAGGCAAACCTGGGAATAATGAATAGATTAGGCCGTACCTTCACAATACAGTTACCAGACCTGCCACTCTATGAAGCCTCAAAATTAGGATCTCAGGGAGAGAAAAATCGGGATTTGGTGAAAAAAGTCGGGATCAACAGCAAATCACCAAGGTGACTGCCAAAGCTGACTTAAAAATTTTCCATGGGTGTCCATGAATTACTCGGCCTATATGCTCTCTGTGTGTCTTTGCGTGCATGTTATCATTATTTTTTGTAAATCCTGAAGCATCACGTCAAGCACTCCTAGTCCACAAGTCTCTACCCCCCCCCTCCCCAACCGGAAAGTCCCGAAATACATGAACTTAGGTTGACCCCGTCAACGGACGATCCCCGACACGCAGAACTCACACGGCGATGTCATGTCACGTGATGCGTATGCGCGATTGAAACAATTTTACTAACAGGTCCGACTAAGTGCACGTTCAAACAAAACACTCGGATGAGAAACAGTCGTTCTACTTCTAGTTCTAGGATAACGACGGGGGCCGACCGACCAAATGTACCAACAAATCTCTTATCCCTCATAATGCGTTCAGACTAAAGCAACGACAACGGCCGAATGTTAGTCTTGCCAGCGCAGTTTACATGTAATTGTGTAAGGGTTAGAACGACTGTCGCTCGTCCGAATCTTCGCAATGATAATTTCTCTAGATCTAGAATCTAGACAATAAATTTGCAAAAAAAAATTCTTTCTGACAGTAATTTTCTGTCTAAGATCACATGTCAATATACTTGATCAACGCGCAGATTCTTCGAGCCGCGGCAACAATCCGAAGATAGACAGACGGAATGAGGGAATGATAGAAAGGAGGAAAGTGCCACAAAAAGTTCGCCAGATTTTGATCAATCTGCAGGTAAAAAATGTACTGCCGACAAGCCTGCAATGAATGCATGGGGCAGAGTAGAATAATGGCCGATTGCAGGAAATGCGCAATCTGGCAGGTTTCTATAGCATAAACTATTGCCGAGAGAATTACCGTAAATATCCGTACCTTATACAAGACATACGAAGGCGAGTACGGATCTTTTGCTACGGAATTTCGGTAGTCCTACGCTGTCGCAGATTTTTACGGAGGGAGTTGATGATGATGGAGGAACAAGTACGGAACTAGCAGAAAGTACGGATTTCCGTAAAAATACGGAAGAGTGGAAGCACTGTATATACCTATAGTCTCTCTTTCTTTGTCTTTTCTCAAACCATCTCTCTTCCTTTCTCTTTCCTGCCTCTTCCTCCTCATCCTACACCCCCACCCCACCTACCCCCAACCCCCTGCTCCAAACACTTACCACTGCGACTATCCATGACATAATGTTCGATGATGGAGGTTTTGTTGAGAATGTCCTCAGCCATGCAGGCATTGCTCATCTCCAGATGGTTTACCTGAAGATAAGATAAGGCAGACAATATAAATAATAGACTTGAAAAGATGAACGTCACTGATCCTCCATTAGAAGAAATTGACCTTGATATCAACAGCTTAGTGTAAGACTCCAACATACATCATTTTGAATATATACGTTTTCATCAGATTCACCAGAAATATACATGCATTGTTTTATACCAGAATAAAACACATACACATGATACACAGAAATGCACAAACATGTACACACACATTCACATACACACACACACACACACACACACACACACACACACACACATTTCCAGATAAAGACACATACATGGAGGAGCCCATAATAAAAATTATGTATAAGTGATTTTTTAAAAATGTTCTGCCGTCTTTCTGTGTACACTTGGGAATAAAAGATAAAGATAAAGAGGCAAATAGAGACTAAGAAACAGATAATGGAATACTACAGTTAACAGTCAAGCAATGAGTATGAGAGTGGATGTGTGTGCATGGGTGTGTGTGTGTGTGTGTGAGTGTGTGTGTGTGTGTGTGTGTGTGTGTATGTGTATGTGTGTGTATGTGTGTGTGCATGTGTGCGTGCATGTGAGTATGTATGTGTGTGTGTGTATGTATGTGTGCATATGCACATGTATGCATAAACAAATGTGGGAGAGAAAGAGATATGCAGAGAACCCCCGAGGAGATGTGGAATAATAGGCTCTTGCAAGTATATGCACATGTGTATGTGCCTGTACGAAAGTGAAAGCAAATTATCTACACCCCACCATCCCGAACATCCCAGGACGTCATGCACTTTGTCTCCTAGGGTGGGTGGCCACTCACTTTCTCCTCCAGCCCCCACTTGTCCTGCTGTAGGACAGCCACACGTTTCAGCAGGTCATTGTACTCCTCCCCTACGCTGCCTTCGCTGATCATACTGTTGTTGCCAGACATTGGAGACTGAAACCGGATCACAAGAGCACTCTTTTTTTTTTAGGCCGTCAGTGACAAATGAAAAACTTTGCAAAGAACAATTTAACACTTTACAGTCAACTGTCACAGGGAAGGAAAAAAAACAACTAAAGATAGGGAACAACTCTCAGGGACGGATTTCAGTTTACTTTAAGTACAAGTTTTACAGCACCAGCAACACAAACACATCATATAAGTGCTGAAGACCAGAGGTTTCACTACTAGAGAGTACCGTACAAAGAAAAGAGGGAAAACAGAAAAGGATGATACTTGTTTGATTGGCAGGGATGGCTCAGTACAGTATAAATATGCCAATTATAGTTTATTACGGACACTTATATAACTGCAGCTTTCACTGTTAAAGATGTCTTCTGCTCAACATATGAAATTATTGTTGACTGTAAAGAGTTTAATGGGACTAGTACAAACATTTCATACTTGACTAGTGTGCTAGAGAACAAACACTGATTGGAAACTTAGTAGATACTCCTGTAATCTAATACATAAAACCAGAGATTGTGGTGCATCAGTTAAGGCTATAAACCTTTTACACAAAAGTTGTGATTAGATTCTCATACACGGAAGACATTTAAATTTCATCTAGTATCTCCACTTTTCTGCTCGGCTGCCCACCGAACAACCCTTCCAGGCAGAGGCAGAGCCAAAGCAACCACTTTTCAAGATATCTCAGTTGTGATGATAGAATTAGTTTATACTTCAAGGTAAACAAAACCAAAACAAGCAAAGAAAACAAACAGCAAAAAGGTGCAAATAACAAAAAGTGTCAGGTTTTGTAAGAAAGCCTTAACTTACTGTATTTGGTAAGACCTTATTCATCTCATTCGAATACCTACCCACAATCAAAATGATGAGAAAAGGATTGTGTACAAGTTGGCCACCATATGTCACAAATGTTTGAATGATAATGCACCATCATATTTATCAAATCTGTTAAGACTGTACATTCCAACTCGCAGTTTAAGGTCATCAGCTGACAAAAAGAAATTTATTTTACCATCTATGAAACTTAAAACAATGGGTGAAAGGGCATTTGAATACCAAGGCCCCAAGATCTGGAATGCTTTACCAAGTATGTTGAGAGAAATCAAATCTTTTGATTAATTCAAATGTCAGCTGAAGTCGTTTCTGTTTTTAAATTAATAAGATGAATATTTGGAATAATTTTCTTTAGTCAGAACACAACGTTTCATGTTACTGTTGTATGTTGTACTGTATTGTAAAGCGCTCAGAGCCTGTGTACTTTATTCGGGGTTGAGCGCTATATAAATGTCATTTATTATTTATTATTATTATTAAACCAAGGTGAATTGAAAGTACACCCTACATTTTGATGTCATAGTACTAACACTTTTCCATTTTTAGAAAAACTCTATATCTTGATGTCATTGCATGGTAACTGCACTTCCTTCTCCACAATTATAAAAACTCTTAACTTTGATGGCAAAATGCAATTTCTCCTGGCTGACCCTGTGGAGAAGTACATTGTAAGAAAATTATGGTGTCTTTTTACATGTAATTCAATAAAGAATGGTTGGTCGAATTCCTTCTGTCTCAACATTGCTAAATGTATAAACATACTCTTATTGTATTAACACATATATGTATTATAAACACAACAAATTTCTCAGTCATAAGCGATGGAAATTGGCAGGAAGTGTCCAGCACTTAATGACATACCTGAGGCCCACTGGCCACAGAGTCCTTGCCCAACCCACTGGCCCCAGCACCCCAGGAGGACACAGAGCTGAGGACAGAAAGGAACATTAGGATCAGTTCTCTCCTCATTTCAACCATTTCTGTGTCTTTGTTACTTCCTACATAATATATGAAGCTATCTCATGATCATAACAGTAAGTGCCTTAAATGGTTAGTTTTCCTTGATTTTCATTCTCATTCTTGAATTTCTATCTTTAGCACTTCAAACAATTTTAATGCAAGCTACTATTGAAATACAAAATCAAGTTTGCAACAGACTTCCATCAATATTCATCAAGAAAAAACTAAGAGCACCTAAAGAATTCTGAAAACATGGGCCCTGTCTCTAATAAAGTGATATATTTGTTGCCACGAACCAAGCAAAGTATCTGACTGCTAGTATGAAGCAGAATGTGCAAGCAACATTGGTTTGTATTTGTATCAGCCTTCTATGCTTTGAGGTCAGTAAGAACTTTCTCATGAATAACAGTACTCTATGTAAACAAGCAGGATTTTTCAAGATCAAAATAAGAGGTAAAAAGCTTCCATTTCATCATAAATAAGAGATAACAACGAAAAATATTATTTACAAAGTACAGCATCAATCTATAGTATTTTTAAATTGTGATAAACTTACCTTTGGATTAAAAAAAAAAAAAAAAAAATTTAATACGTTTTTCTTCAGAAACTACCATTTCACATGTAAACTGCATACTACAGACACTCAGCACAACTTTACATATCTCATTTATTTCATGTTGTTGCTTAAGCCCAGGGAGTTCAAATACACAAACATAAAAAAAAAAGAAACAGCTGTTTTTCCAAACCTAGTTTCTTCCCTTTTAAAAATTAAAGAACAGATAAATGCAACCAAGACAGCACAAGCTAAAACTGAAAGGCAGGTTAAAAATAATTTTGTGAACACGGAAACATGCATTACACACAAACTGATTTCCTGGTGTTGGTACAAAGTCTATACAGCTTCTGAATCTATCTTACTGCTCAGTCCTACCTGGTGTCACCAAATGCAAAGTCTCCAGATTCAGATGACCTGAACAAGTCCTCCATACCTAGGGGAAAAAAAAAAAAAAGAATGCCCATCAGGGCAAAAAGTAAGACTCCCTCGCAGTGAAAATGATAATAAAAACTGTGCAAGAAGGAATGTGTTATATAACTGGTGTGTTTGTGTGGGGGTGGACCCCATCAGGGGGAGGGCTGCATCTGGTAGTTGGTGGGACAGCTATCATATTAATCACATAGCCCCCCGCTCCCCCCCCACAAACCCAAATCCCCAACTGTGTAAAATTGTAACAACAAAAGAAAGCAGCATAGATTGTGTTAAGTACTTTGGGCAACAGCATACCTGCTTATACTTAATAAAAACTACATACTAAGATCATTTATGCTTATGCCGTGGGTCCATGGATTTCAGAACACAGGCTGTTTAATGCCCTTTACCTGTTTTGACGGACACAAATCATGACATTTAACACACTATCTCCATCAGTCTCTTACACTTAAGGCCAAATTCAGTTCACTATACCTCACATAATTTTTTAGGTTTGTTGGTTTCTTCAAATTTAGCAATTTTCATTTCCAGCCACTCTTTTATTGAGAAAACATCAGGCCTCTCACCTTTGCTGGATGTGTCAGAGAGCACTTCCTGCAGACGAAGCTGGAGCTTTTCTGCCCTTTTGCGCTCTGCGTGCAACTGTCGCTTGAGATCTTTGAGCTGACAAACAAAAAGTATAATGTTAAAAAATATCTTTCATATCTGCAAACTTGATAAAAAAATGAACTTTATTTTATAGATATTCTCTAAAAATACAGTTTGAAAGATTCTAAGTCAGTCAACTCCACTTTTAAAAAAACCCACCGAAACATAAACAAAACAAAACAATTTTGATTATCAAAGAGGCAAAAAAACTGCCATTTCAGGCTCAGTGAGAAACATTCCAGCCGCAGATACTTCATACAATATCTTCTACACATGAGAATTAAACATATATCTTTTGTACACAAAGGCAAAGTACCTTACCACCCAATCATAATCACAAGTACTTAAAGTATAATGAAGATTTTTAAAACTTGAGGAAAGTTCACATTTAAATAATACTCAGGGGGTTCTTGTGGCATAGAGGTTAAGGCTTTCGCCTCTCATTCAAAGGACCCGGGTTCGAATCCAGGTAGCGACCGAAAAATTTTCTTCTTTAAAATTGTCTCCTTTCACCTCCTTTCCTGTTCTCTAGCAATGTTCTGGCGTCTACTTTCGTCTCCACTTTCTGCTCCCACCCTCCATTCTTTGCCCCCTTTTCTGGGCTCCAGACTCATTATGCAGCCTTTCTACAGCTACTCTTGGCTCCTTCTTACTGCTGTCTTTCAGCCCTACCCCTGATCTTCTTGAAGGAAAAATCTACACCTAGCCTTCTCTTTCGTGTGTCCCACGCACTCATATAACCTTAGCAGCCTCCCCCAAAAAAAATATTTAAAAAATACTCAGGTACAAAACTATTGTGGACTTGTGCCTCAAACATCCATAATACAGCAGCAGTAGTTTCAGTAATAATGAAAGGGAAAATTTGGGTAAAATAATTACATCCGACTTTCAACGTATACAGTGCTGTCAGAGAACATATAACTATTGGGTTTTCGGTCGCCATCAACAAACCAGTATCAAAGAGAACCTGGTGGAAGATGCATTTCGTTGTAAGTACAGATAAAAGAACGTCACTCTCCTACACTAGAGAAACTCTGTGGAGAGGAACCCCACAGGCAAGGCATTTGCATTCCTTTTGGGCGAGATAATTGTCTGTTTATATCCCATGACCTGTTCAAGGCAAGAACTATTCTCTAAAATTCTTACCATAGTCATTCCTTTCTTTTCATGAATCTTCTTTTCATCAACATTGTCTTTAATAGCCTGAAGAAAAAAATAACAAATAAGAGGATGTTATCATTTGTCATTTTAATTAATTAATTTTTAGTCAATACTCTCAATCAGAAGAAATTATTACTTTTCTCAAAAAAACCCCAAAAAACGACTAAAATCCAGCCGTACCTTCCAATATTTAACATAAATATGGGTCTCAGGAAACGACAAATGCAGTTTTAGGGACACCTGAATAGACATAAGGGTCTTGAACATCTAGCTCTCACTGGCAAAATTGAAGGCAAGCGAGGCAGGGGTAGGCCCAGAACAACATACTTTGGGAACCTAAACAAATGGGTAACAGGGAAAGATCAGGGAAACAAAGATTTTTTGAGAGCATCCGAACAAAGGAATGAATGGAAAACCATGATCCCCGATGTCTGTCGTAGATCTGGCACTGGATGATGATGATGATGGGTCTCAGGAACATGGCAAACAATTCTTGTAGCTAAGTGGATAGACATTTCAATTCTATAAAAGCAATAAGGCAGTTAAAAAAGTAGGAGTTCCAAGGTGATTATCTATCACAGAAATAAGAGAAAAAATGGAAAAGGACAAAACTCGAACACTCCAAAATTCAATAACATCAGTAGGGCCATTCCATGGTAACTGATAGGACATTTGGACTATACTTTCTTAAAATGATAACACTGTAATTCAATATCTATTAATTTATTCAACTTTAAATGATCAGAACATTCGATAGACATATTCCCTTTATTAAACGCAGTCATTGAAAAAAAAAGTATGTTAAGCAAATTCTGTGACATGTTAACTTTCGGTAACTGACGCGACAAATTAGGTATTTTTTTGTCCTGTAAGTTACCGTGGAATAGCCCTGTAGGAGAACTCAACCAGGATCACCTGCAATGCAATTCTGAAAGACATTAACTCAGATAAGAGTGGTCTTACACATTAGCCGATACTGATCTTACGACCACTGGCCAAGACAACCACCTGTACAAATGACCCACTTCGCACTTACCCCACTGCACTTTTGTCTTCCTGTATATCACAGTGACATTGTCCTAGAGGGACACCTAAGATAACCATTTTCCTCATCGACCAATGAATAACGATTGTATTGGACAGGTTCGACTGCAAATTTAAACATAAAGACTACTATCAAAAGCCCTCCAAGACAAAAAATGGTCATTTTGTTGATATAGTTTACAAATTCTTAGAAACAGCATCTACCAACTACCTGCAAATTCAAACAAAAAGACCAACACAAAATACCCTCCAAGACAAAAAGTAGGCCATTTTGTAGACAAAGCTCACAAATTCTTAGAAACAGTACTCGTATCTGTCTAATACCTGTCTGAGGTTATTTTCTTTGTTCTTCAGGCCCTCAACCTCTCCCTTCAGAACCTCCTCCTTCTTCACCCACTCTTCATCTGCTACTCTCCTCTCCTCCTTCAGTCCTTCCACTTCTTGGGCATGGGAGGAGGTAAGTTCTTCCAGCTCAGTCTTATGCCGGGTGGTCATCTCTTCTCTCTCCTCCTCTCCAGCTTTTGTCGTCGAGCTCAGTTGATCCTGAGAGAGAATTGAAAATCCCACTAGACACATATACACAGTTCTGAAAACAAGCATTAACACTGTGTGGTATGGGAGTCTGTTTTGGCAAGATAACCCTAAATGAGCAGAAGACAAAATACATGTAATGTAAACAACAACAAAAAACCATGTAAAATAAAGCAGTTGTACCGTACAAATGACGTCCTGTCACACTTCCAGTGCTTCCACCAGGTGATGCTGAAAAGTAAAATTCTGCCGGGGGTCAGGGGGCCGAGGAGGCCCCCAGCAGGGCCCAGGGACAGCGCCTCGGAGGGGGTTCAGGGGGTGAAGTCCCCGAGAAAATTTTAATTTAGTACTTTTAGAGGGTTGAAAATGGCATTTGGGAGCCTGTTTGAAGAGATTGCAAACAACCCATACTACCTATTTTTTCACCAAGATTTTGTCTTGTTTGATTTTTTCACCAACATATCTTTTCATTGCTGGCAATGTCTAAAAGCAGATTCTCCTTCCATTGCTACTATAATTCAATTAATTTGTCATCGTACCATTGATAGAAGGAAAACCTGGAAATAATGAATAGATATGTATGTACCTTCACAATACAGTTACCCGGCGTTGACCCTAATTTTCCTCAATTTTCTCGTCCGAATGTCACATGTCACAACCTCGGAACACCACATCGAATTATTCTTGATTTTAGTAGTTTTAGCACAAATTTCTTTCATCGTGGCCCTTATCACGTTCCTGTGCCGTAGAATCTTGGCACTGATAATTTCTCTAGATCTAGACAATAATTTTGCAAACAAGTTTCTTTCTGTCTAAGATCACAAGTCTTGATCAACGTGCATACTTTCCAGCCGCAGCAACAGTCCGAAGATAGACGGAATGAGGAAATGATAGAAAGGAGGAAAGTGGCAAAAACAGTTCACCAGATTTTGATCAATCTGCAGGTAAAAAATGTACTGCTGACCAACTCGCAAAGAATGCATGGGGGCATAGTGGAATAATGGGCGATGGCAGGAAATGCCCAATCTGGCTGGTTTCTATAGCATAAACTATTGCCGAGAGAAGTACCGTACTTATACAAGATGATACGAAGGCGAGTACAGATCTTTTGCTACGGAATTTTGGTAGTCCTACGCTGTCGCAGATTTTTACAGAGGGAGCTGATAATGATGGAGGAACAAGTATGGAACTGGCAGAAAGTACAGATTTCCGTAAAAATACGGAAGAGTGGAAGCACTGATGGACTGTCTTGCATCAACCCACCAGGGGCAAACAACTTACCTCCACCTCCTTCAGCCTCCTTTCCAGCCAGCCCTTGGACTCATCAAGGGAGCTAACCTTCTTGTTCAACTCTTCTATCACAGGAAGCTGCCTGTTCAGCTCTGCAATCTTTTTCTGCGAACAGTAATATATATAATAAATAAATATGAAGAGGAGAATCCTTGCTGATCCTAGCATCACACAGGGTAAAGGAAAACACGATATATCTCTCACTCCCGCTTCCCTACCAATCTCTCCATTGTACATCATGCATAATGCACTTACATCTGCATTCAAGCTAACACATACTCACTGAACAGAACTCCCTGCAATTCATTTGAAAGCTACAAAATCTTATCAACCATCAGGAAACAAAAATTTGTAAACCAATTTGTCCTCTATTGTTCAGACAAAACCTTCCTGCTTCAAACAGGTTTATCATTATACCACACAAGCTGGATACCCATTCGATAAACGGGTTTAAAAGAATAGATCGCAAAGTCATTCTGGAATCAGTGCATACTACTTTCGCTTGTTTACAATGGCGTCTTAGAATCGAATTTTCCCAAAATTAGATATAAACGAAACTAATGAAAAACTGAAAATTAAACTACAGAGACTTCAGACTCCTTAATATAACTCTGAACCACTGTTAATTTTTTCGAATTCGAAAGTTACGTGGTTCAGAAGTTTTAGCCGACCAAAGTGACAAGCTTTCACAAATATAATATAGATATAGATGCCATTCAACAATATCTACCTCTCTGAAAAATAGAGCTGGGCGAAGAATCGATTCAGGAACCGGTTCCCTCAGCTAGTGTTACAGAGGTAAAGTTCCGATTCTTTTTTACGCAAACCAATGGTTACCAATTACTATATTTATTTTATTTTTTGATTAAAATGTTTTTAAAAAAGTAAAACGTTGGTGCCTCGTCGTGTTTCGAAACCGAGGTTGTCCTGGATCCTGAAGTTGCTTGAAACCTACCAGGTAACCGGAACTGGCTAGCTGTTTGATTCATCAGAAATAATTTGGTACTTTTCGGGAAGTAATCATATATAATTGTCAAAGGGTCGGAACCACTGGAAGAAATCATGGACACCCGGAAGAAATAACAATAGTAGTAAAAAGTTGGGTTCGGACTCGATTCCTACAATTCCAAGTTCGCAGTAATCGGGAACCGCCCACCACTATTGAACAAAGACTGCAATAATTACATCATCAGCTATAAACACAGATGAAACATACAGACTGCTCCTCTATAGAAGTCTCCAATTTCTCCTTTTCAGCGGCATGATCGGCCTCCATCTGTGTGGTTGCTTGACGATGGTCATCGTACTCTTTCTGGTACTTGATTGCCAACTCATCCAACAAACTCTTCCTCTTCTCCGCTACCTGCAAGAGGTAAACAGGTACAGATGTTAGAATTTACTGCTTCATTCATACAAATGCAAACAAAAAACAATTAATTCGTCTTGTGATTGAGGATTTCAATGCAAAGATGAAACAAAGAAAACCACATTTGCTAAAGAAGAACATTGTCAGGAGAAAGTAATATCTCAATTATTCTGATGAAACTCATATTTCATACCATTAAATACAGTGAGCTCCTGTTTTAACCTTACCTTGCTGACCTCCTGCATGGCAGAGATCTGACTGTCCCTCTCTGTCTGTGCCTCATGGAGTTGAGTCACAGCCTCCTGTGCTGCCCGACGACTTTCCTGTCATTCAATAAGGACACGATGGTTTAAACAGGAGTCAGCAAAAAAAACATTGTTTGAGTTGAAGAGAGGCACATCAACAAAATAAGCCTCATATTGTACTGGGAAAAAGCAAGACAGGCACAAACACAAGAGAGGCAGAGTAAAGAGGAAGGCGCACTCCAAAGGGTTTGACTTTTCGTCTTACACGCAAAAGACACAAGTTAAATTTACACATGGCAAAGACATTTTATTGAGTACTTGTACCTTTCCACAGGGACATATCCCATACAACGTAGATTGGTTCTAACAAGCAGGGTCAAAGCAGCTTTATGTGATTTACATTGTCTTTAAAGGGGCGCAATAACACTGACAACACATCTACAACAAGTGATTTGTTAAAAGTGGCATGTATGCCATGTGCATAGTGGCCTGTAACACATAGCCTTTTACACAAAATAGAAGGGACCAAAGATGCAAGTTTAAGAACAACATTAGACTGACACAGAAGTGAAACAGACAATCCTACATCAAGAAAAGAAACATTTCACACAGTACGAGAAAAATCATAAAGATGCATATGATTTAGTTAAGTGTAAACATTTAGAGTCAAAAGTTCATTTATGTGTATTTGATAAATGCAGACCAGATTTGCTAAACTAGGATACACCATGATGAATGATAAATATGGACAAAACTCTTGTAGACAATCCTAAGCCTTCACACATTGAACAACCAAATGAACTTTAAAAAAACAAACAGGAAAGAAAACAACAGAACCCCCATCGTTCTTACCTCATGCCCATATTATCTGAAAGATGTTTATCATAAGGAAAACTGACACTACGAACCTGCAACTGGGTGGTCAGGTCATCTCTCTCCTTGGTCAGCTTGGCAACGTTCGCTCTGTGGCCGTCTATCTCTGCGATGTACTTGGCTCCCTGCTCCTGAAGCTGATGATTGGTCACTAGATTGGATGCATCCACCTGGGGAGATAATTGGGATGGGGGTTGGAGGAAACCAAAGTGAGCTTCACGCGTAAATATTTGTCATAATTCGTAAATCTATTGCTTGTGTAAGAATTGACCATATGCCATTTTGAAAAGTGACTATGATGGAGTCTTACACTGAGCAGTTGAAATGTTTTAAGACCTCATGGACAAAATTTTTAATCACTCTCCAAACCACGCCAGGGATCAAACTTTTGATTTTATGATTACATCAGCACATCTCTCTATCCCACAAATAATTCTTTAAAACTCTCACCTGTTTCTGAAGCTCCTTGACCTTTGACTTGAGGCCATCTGTTTCCTTATCAGATGACATTTGACTCTGTTCAACTTCCTGTAACAAGTGAAATAGTTTCATTTTAAGAATCTTACAGATCTTTGTCACTTGAACTGTCCCTGTTCATGCAAATAACATCCCACTGGCAGAAAGTAAGAAGTCACTCAAAACAGGAAAAAAAACAAAGCACTTATCTACGTTCCAGTAGCTGATGGTCTTGCAAATGTTTCACAACTAATTCTTAACTGAGTTAAGAAATTACAATTCCAAAGACATAAAGAGAGACAAACAGATATACAGATGCAGACAAACACAGAAATATAGTAAGTCAGACAGGAAAACAGAAACTAAGCAAACAGTCAGACAGAGAGATGGACGGGTCAAGACAAAGTTTAAGTTATGAGCCATGACATAGCAGCTCCTCCTTAGCCACTCACCTTCTTGTTCCTCTCGGCATCTTGTTGCAACTTGACGATCTGGTCCTTGTAGTACTTCTGATCTCTGTCACGTGCAGCCTGGCTCTCCTCCAGTTTCAAACTGCAATGAGTAAATCCACATTTATATTTTATGTGGTAGGATTAAAGAGAAGGACAAGAGTCATTATTTGCTAGGAAAAGACTGGATGACAGACAGACACAACCGAGGTGAGGTGCCCAGCAGAACCGAGGTGCCCAGCAGCATGTGAGCGTACATCGTAAAGTAAAAACAATACTGACATGATAAATGAGCAGAAGTTTATTTAGAGTAGACAAGTTAACTGTCATTCTAAGCTTCAGAGTGGACTCAAATACAAAATTCAGAACCAAACATCTATGATACCCGACCAACTCAATCCTCTACCTACATTAAAAAACAATGGTCGGAATAAAAGTCTTTTAGACAGGTTGACGAAGTAGGACAGCTCTTTTTTTTTTTTAATTAACCAAGCCTATAATTCTTTTCACCCTTGCCTTTCCATATGATAAAATCTCAATTAATCTTTCCCTGGGTCCTTGAAAGGGAACAAGACGAGCTGTTTTTTCATTCCAACAGAATGTCATTTAGACTTTTGAACCCCTTCGTTGCCTTCTGACATTCCTGTTTGTCACAAAAATATGTAATTTGTTAGCTTTGTGCCATGCCATGGATGTCACTGAAGTTCCCAAATTTTGCCTTTCCCAGTTGCCTTTAAGATGTTACAGCCACAGGCACTGCATGAATTTGTATTTGGGGGGTTGGGAAAATACGAATACCAGTACCAAATTTGCTAGTATTACTTTACCATCAAGCTTGCAGAAATCAATAACCACTGGTCTAGTCTTGCAGACAACCACATGCTCTTGCAAAACTTACAACACCAAAATGATTTTGAAAAGGCAGAAAATTTCACTTTTTGTCTCAGATTTGCAATTTCAACTAAATTATGGGTAAGATGGGGAACATAGGGAATGAGGAAAGCGAGGAAAGTGACACTACTGAAGATCTGGAGATCAAAATGTCATGAGTGTGCTAGATTTTTACTGCCAGTCCAATAACACTTAGGCATAAGACTGCTGTCCTAGCTAACGGAATGCACATCCCCTGGCAATGAAGGGGCTAAAAAGTGGAGTCTTTGACACTTTTGACTTTACACTGTTTCGCTAGATTTGTGGGAGAAAGTATGTGGGGTATTCCTACATCAATTATCCCATGCCACTTCTTCCACAGCTGCAAAGACAAATTAATATATCTCTAAAAAGGTGCAGAGGCAGATTCACTCACTTGCTTTCTTTGAAAAGAGTCTCCTTCTCGGACTGAACTTGCATGAAACTGAAAGTAATGGACAAAATGAATGAAGTACCAACTTCATCAAAATTGACTAAAGCAGACAATCAGACACAAAAGTTCATGAAAAATGCACTCCTTGAGAGTAGATATCAACAATTTTTGTCCACTTGTTGAAAGTAGGAATCTTTTCCAATGAATAGGCTACTGCCATAATTCATTGTGCCATTAATAAATCCATCACAAAAGAACAGCTAATGAAAATTACAGAATTGAAAAACATTAATATGGTATGTAAAGACTGAGTAAAATAAGTCAAACTAAGCTTATAGCTCTTAAACATTTGCCATTTCAGAGACTAAATTCAAAATTCTTTTTAAAAATATAAACTGCAGTTAGAAAATCTTCCAGTCTCATCTGCACAGGCAGAAAATCTCTAAAAATATTTATACAACTCCATAAACAGAATCAAAGTTTTCATGGAGTATCCGCAACTTAAAAAGAAAAAGTAACATCTTATTCACAATACTGACATAGATATTCTCTTACCTTTCCTGTTTTTTCTTTAGTCTATCAGTACCCTGAAGACACAGAAATCACAAATGTATACCTTAGCACCAATGAATGGAACATACAACTTAGTCATAGTGTCACAACATGATGGAATCAGGCGCTCATCAATTTTGGGGTGTATGGAGTTATAGGTATCATCGTAAAGCCTGTTCATTTGCCCTGCTTTTGAGAGAAAAAACATCCCTCTATCTCAGATGCAAGTCAAGATATTGTCCATTGAAGAAGGTTGGGGTCGCCAGGTTTCAGAGGTAAAATTAGTAAGAAAATGACCACCAAAGTATAGTTATTTCCTTAGCTTGAGAGTTCGTAGAAACTTAAAATTTACAGCTTCTATGTCTGTATCAACGTTTTTAATTACAATCCACATAAAACTGTGTTCTTTAATGGGCATGAAAGGTGTTGAGCCAAAAAAACAAAAATTTGATAAAAATTCCCAAACCAGTTTCTTCACTTTTATTATTTTGACAAGCGCCTGATTACACCATGCTGCCTCACAAGAGACAAAAATTACATTTTCTTACTATTTAATAGACAAAAACTGAAGTTTATTAAGATACAATACAGACCTGCCACTCTATGAAATCTAAAAATCAGGATTTCTGAGTTAAAAAATCAGGATCTGGTGAAAAAAATCGGGATTAACGGCAAATCAGTCATAACGGCCACTGGGGAAAGCAGGGGGGGGGGGGTGTCCTGGTTCCTTTTTAAGAGGCAAGTATGCTAGGCAAAACTTTTGCAGGAAAAAGTTCACGTTGGGCCTCTAAATAGAGGAAAAGCTGAAAGATATGTACTCGAGTCGAAGTTGGATAGACTGGTGGAGCGAAGGTCGCAGTGATGCTGAAACACTCGTAGTCTTGAAAATAGCTGACACGTAACTCGAATCATCCACGCAAAACGCCCGCGTTTTAACAACGTTTGACTTCCATCACATCGAAAAAAAAGATCGCGCCAAGGTTGTTCATTTTTTTTCTTATTCCTTTCCCCTTAATTAGTGCCTGTATCACGATTAAATCGGGATGAGTGGCAGGTCTGTACAATAGCTTTGTCTGCAGAAGCCCTTAACGGCCACAAAGCACAAACAAAGAATTCACAAAAATCTACACCAAACATACTTAAAATTAAACCCAGTACTGCCATCATTTAACACAGGTAATAGCTAAAGAAAGCATCAGAAAATAGGCAGAGTGTACTCATAGGTAAATTGATTCAAAGGTGGAGGATTTGATCCTCAGACACGATACTCGACTGAAAGGAAATTTTCCTGTAAAGACATTAAATATATCATATTTTGAATCCCACTTTTTATATTCAAACTCAACCTTCCGCATAAAAAATCAAATCTGTGATCAATGGCTTTGCAAATATTTCTTTTATCAAATTACAACATAGGTTACCTTGTCTACCTCCTCCTGTAAAGCAGCTATCTGGGTCTTAGTGTCACGCTGAAACAAAAAAATAACACGTGATATCATCAGTACAAGTGTAGAAAACATATTTTGGCCCAAAAAGAGTCAATCAATCAACTAAGCAAAGTGTTGCAGCTAGTCAAATTAGGTACTGTGTATATTACTTTCAACTAACTCAATGAGAATTTGACTCTACACATAGGAAAATTAGCAGCTGCAGTACCAAAGCGTTGTATGTCCACTATGGTCATTACAAGACCACATACTTTATGCAAATGAGTGGACATTGAAAAACTTGCAATTTCGAAAAAGGGCCATGTTGGATAAAGAACAGCAACAGCAATTAGAAAAGAAGACTAAAGAACACTGCATTCCACTCCATGTAATAATATGTCAGTGAGAAAATGTTTCTACAAAGACTTTTACTTTACGTCTTGGCTTTGCAAAGTAGACTACTAATCAAAGCGACATTTCATGAAAGGAAAGAAAAATTCAGGAGTGAGAATCTGTTGCAAAGTTCGGTTAAGCTATTTTTACCTGAATTTGTTCCAGTTGAGCCTTTAAAATTCTCTTTTCTTCTCTTTCTGTGTCCAACTCTAGTTGCAGCTCTGAAGCGAAAGAATTGTTTAAAGACTTTCTTTACAAAATATTCTGTTAAAACAATATCTTCTAAAAAACGAGCAAACATGACACTAAACAAACCAAAAGTTGTCCTTTTTAACTTTTGTGATTTCTTTCGTTTCTTATACGTTATTTTTTCTATTCTAAAAGAGCTGAAATAGACAAAGAGGATATTCTCAAACCTACAGAGAAGTAGACACTACACAAAAAGTAATTTTCTCTTCCTTACTTTTTAGGCAGGCACAGGCAAGTTTCTAAGGAGATTGCTTTCTTCACCCCTATAATTGTTCAAAATGTTGGGACTAACCATGAAACAAAACAAAACAAAAAGATACTCACTCACAGAATCTGTCTGATCTGTTGACTGGGTAACTGGCAGAGAAATTTAAAATACGTATTTTCAAAATCAAGATAACCAAAGCTGAAATTGAATTTTTTTAAAAGGATACAGCATTCAAAATGAGTAAAGATAAATTTTCAATATTTCGAGAAAATCCATACTCATCTATGAAACAAGAGAAAGTCAAAGAAAATGAAGCTGTGAGACATGTCCTAAACAATCAAATATCTTGTTTATCATTAAAAGATACACTTAAACCACTTCTGAAAATGTCTATATTAAGACCATTCAAAAGTAAATCAACACCTCATGAGTTCTTACCTCTGTCATTTGACCCATCCACCACATCATCTGTCTTTTCTTCAGCAGCTGCATTTGACCTGAGGACCATTGCAAAACTTTATTGTACTAATGAAACACAGGAGGCAGGGGCAGAAAACAAAACTACAGCAACAGCTCACGGTACACAAAACATTCACTCGTTTCAGATTAAACTGATTTCATACACCAGGTGTCAAAAAAAAAAAGAGGGCTCATTTAAAGGGCTCTGAAGCGAAAGAATTGTTTAAAGACTTTCTTTACAAAATATTCTGTTCAAACAATATCTTCTAACAAACAAGCAAAACATTCTGTTCAAACTTAGTTATCTCTCGACTAATTTCAACAAAACTTGGAACAAATAAAATTTAACCAGAGTTTATGAATATGAAGAAAATGGAACAAGTCCCTTTAAATTTCAACAAAAATAGAATGAGATGCAAAACACAACGACACTTACTCATCTCCTAGCTGATCCGCCGCCTCACTCGTGGCACGTTGACTCACTTTGTTCTTGGAACTGCTCACCTCCTCATACTTTTCCTGAAGAACTGCCAGATGACAGAATGGGGAAGACGTTATATATAACTTGACTTCTAACAAACAATACAATGTCCTTTCTTCAAACTAATAACTGCATCTAGTCCACAGAAAAAAAGTGCTGCACAACATAATCCAAGAAACGACAGCAAGTAACATTTTTTGCAGGATTAACCACAAAAAATAGGATTAAAACCACCTGAAAAAAAATCTCTTAAAAGAGTTTTCAAACTCTGAAACAGGCCTTGTTATGTTTCCATTTGCATAATGAGCTTATAAGCACACAAAAAAAACAGTATGGAAAAAGCCTTCTAAATATTTTAAATGCCATTGAAGACACAGCTCTTCTACATCATAACAGAAACTAATTGACAAAAAGTATTCACTCGCAGCAATTACAGCTTCATACACCAGTAACTTGCCCTACATCTGTGTCATAATATATGTGTCAAATAGGACTAAGGTTGTCTTTGGTGATTCATTCAGGTGATACCATTTTTTGCAGTCAAGCTTCAAAACACATTGCAAGTCAGTGTCTTGGGGAAAAGGACTCTTTAATACTTTGAAAAAAATTATGTTTGGTAAAAACATTTTGATAATGAAAGTCACCTGTCAGATTCTTTTGTAAAGCTGCGTTCTCTGCCTGAAGTCTCCTGAGCTCGTCACTGTTGCTGCTGTTAATGTCATTGTCAGCACTAGATGGTGTAGATGCCGCCTGTGATTTGGCAGCCTCTAACTCCTTCTTCATCTCCTCATTGCTGGAAACTAGCTGAAATCCACAGAGAGACCGATACCACATTTTCAGAATATTTTAAAATGAAAGCTCCAATTAAGATGACAAATATGTCACCTAACCAGTTAAAATGAGCTCTTTACTCCAAAATTTCCTTTTCCACTGTACAGCCCTAAATGACATCAGAGCTACCCTTCTCCCTCCAGACCTAACTTCGACAACACACTCTACGGAACATTACAGCAACTGCAGCAAACCTGCACTTATCACTACATGGCATTGGACAGAAGGGCGAGAGCCCAGATGTTGCTGGATCGATAACAACAACAACAACAACAACTCCAAAATTAACTATAAATAATTATGAGGGGCTGAGATGCAAACCCCGCTACATCAATTTTAGCACTTTTGAGAAAATAAGCTTTTTTTTAAATGCTGCTATAGGCACGAACATGTGTTAAAAAGAGAGAATTTTCTGTGGTTTTTATTAAGTATGTGTTGGGTTTGGGCATCAGATAGCCGGTTTTAACAATGTGCATTAGTAAGCAAAAAATCTCAATTTTTTCCAAAATGTCGCTTAGCAGGTTTTGCATCTCACCCCCTCATTTATGCTACAACCTTTCCAATACCAAACTGTACACAAAGTAAACATTTTTGCGGTGAAAAATGACAGCCAACTTCAAGAAATGAGATACAAAAAGTGACAATTTGAACCGTAAATATTTGGGAGTTATCTCTGCTGCTTTAGTCGCAAAGAGTAAAACTTAATTTCACCAGCTGCCAGTTGTGAGTACAAGAGAAACGAAATAACACAATTTACAGACCAGACCAAGCTCCTCCATCAAGGTCTGGTTCTGCAGGCGAAACTCCTCCTCCTGGCTGACCAGTTTCCGCTGGAGAGAGTCAGACTCTTGCAACAGCAGTTCAACATCCTGAAGAAGAGAAAACGCATAGGGTTTTTTTTTTCTTTTTTTCTATTTTAAGACAATGATGTGTAATTATTACAACAGTAAAGAGTAAAACTTTACCACAATGGGTTTGAGTTAAACAGAAGCACTGAGGTCAGAAAGGGTAAATCAGTAAAGCCTCTAGCCTCATATCCCGAGTCCAATGCCCACAAGAACCTTCTGCCCAAGATTCTTTAAAGCTAGTCATGATAGTCCCTGAGATTGCCAGCGGAGGGACATGATAATGATGAAATCACTTCTTAAATACCCAGTCTTTGCTCAATTTCACAAACCAGGGGTACATAGGTGTGATGACAGTCATGTAGTACTGGGAAAAGACAAGAAAAGACAAACAGAAAAAAGAGAGAAAAGAAAGAGCTCTCCAATTGCTAGTACTATGTGATAAGAGACCTCTAAAATAGAAAAAGATGTATTGCATGAGTTGCTTGACATTTTCTTTTTTTTTTTTTTTATGCAAGGACAAATGCACCATATATATATTTAAAATGAAAAAATCCTTACCTTTGCTTTTTTGCTTTTGTTGATAGCCTGTTCAAAAGGGAAACCAAAAACATGAATAAATAAATTTATGCTATTTTAGTATCATAACATCAAAATGAAAATCTAATTAATTCATTGAAGACGCAAGTTTTTCACCAAGAATTTCCCTGGAAACGCACAATTTATACCTATTTTTAAAAAATCAGTGTGAAAAACCTATCAACTGTACAGGTATAAAATTTGACACAATAGTAAGATCATCATGTACAATTACATAAAATGTATTTATTTTTATAAAAACTTTGAAAAAAAATCATGTTTTATGTGAAAAAGCACATTATACGTAAACATGAAAAAAAACTTTTTTTATGAGCTAAGCACACGGAGGTCAGAATTGACTGTAGTCAAATAGAATGGTTTCAAACAAGTAATACAAAATGATATTATCCATGAGAAAAGTGACATTGCTAGGAGAATTGTCGTCTCCTGAATCAGTAATCCCCATCGCTTCGTTGGTAGTGAAAGGAGTATCCAGCATCTCTCTGTTTCTTGTTTATGTAAAAAGTAGGTCAGGTCAGCGTGTTTCGGCAGATTGCTTACAGCAGACAATACGGGTGACCAATGGTCAAAGAGATACAACCACAATAAAGTTAAATGGTTTAAATAATTTAACATTGGGAGTCATTCCCCTTGAGATTCTATTGGTGTTTAGGTAAAAAAAAAAAAAGGTACAAGTTGCCGGGTTCCAGGATCCGACGCGTCTTCAGCATTTGTTGACCTCGCTGGGTCCCGGAACCCGACACGTTGTCAATGAGTTAAAATATCGATGCAAACACTTAAAGGAATAAATAAATTTTTTTTAAACAGTGCCCAGACACACTGGACATCTTTAAATCCTCAAAGACAAAAATCTGAATTTACATCCACTACAAATCGAAATTTAGAAGCACTAGAGAAATTTGGTCCTCTAACATACATAAGGTAAGCCCTGAAAACATGAATGAAGAATGAGGGTAATTTCTTCAAGTTTTTGACAAAGGAAAATAACTCATTATAATATTGTCCTAAATCTAGTCATAGCAGAATCATTTCCCAAGACACTGGGCAGTTGGTGCTATTTCACAGCATTAAAATTTCAATATATCATCAACTTTGTGCTCGTCCCAAGGTTGGCAGTATAACTGGGTTCAAACGGATCTGCATTTCACTTATTACAGTTTCACCTTTGCACAGTAAATCTCCATGGGACTTTTTCATTTTGCATGCAAAAATGGTATAGCTCTAACCGCTCCTCTATGAGGGTCTTCATGTTTGATATGACAAGAGAGACACATACTCTCAGGGGTACAACTGGCATTTTGGCTACAGCAAGAAGTGTGTATTGCCCCCTACACACCATTATCAGATAGTAAAAAGAGTTGAATTTACATTTTCACTTTGGACCGTCAGGTTGGGAAGTCTGCCCAAAAATAATCTAAATTGTGTTGATGGAGCAAAAAACACCCACAATGAAAAAAAAAAGTTTTGTCCATTTTCACCTTTCTTTTCAGACAACCCTCTTACATCTACCTACCTGTTTTGCTTTAGCCAGCTCCCTGTCAAAGTAATCAGTCTTTTCTTGGATTTCAGACAAATCTGGAGAACAAAAATCATACAAACATTTGGAGTGAAGAGCACCTCAAATCAAAGTGAATTTGGAAAAAAAAAGGAAGAAAAATGTTCAGCACGGCACATCAAAGAAGAATATGAGTGTGTCTCAACCTTATATAGATGAGACATCATGTAGAATTACAACAAGAAAAATTCAAAGTAAACTGAAAAGACCCTTTATATAATGCCTTTCATCATACACTTAACAAATAAGATTCCAATTTCAGATGCATTAGGAGTTCAGAAATATAAAAATTATTCCTTAAAAATACACTACTTAAAAAACAAAGTATTTAAAAAAAAAGATCAGATGCACGAGAGCTGCTGCTAGCAACAGTAAATAATGGTGGGTCATTACTGTATGAACCTCAGTGCTAGAGATGAAACCTCCAAGTATAGGTATAATCAAATTATAAAAAGAAGATAAAGAGAAAATTAATACCCCTTTCCAGTTTCTTGTTCTTGCCTTCAAGCTCATAGTTTGTTGTTCTCAGTTCGATCAGCTGTAGCTGTAAATAAAAGTCAGCATATTTATAATCTGTTCAAGACTTTGAAACAAGCAACTTTCATCCCTAGTTTCATACAACAGACATTTCCTTAGCATTGTAAATTATTATATGTCATACAGATGAAAATGTCTTAGACAGCCACCTATTGTCGGAAAAAAAGTAGGCATCTTTGACAGTTAACCATCTCGACTGATCAAAATGAAGAACACAATGGTAAGTCTGCAACCGACTGGTCAACTTGGATAAACAGTGGGAATGACCAGAATCTCGCTTTCGCAACATGCTGGTCCGCGTTTGGCTCAGGCTTATCGTAATAACAACAGATGAATGGATTATGACAACTTGTCCACAGCTTCAGGAGCCTCACTTGAATACAGGGTTCCAGCCATAAACTCCCCACCAAATTCAAGGAGATTTCAAGGAGGTTTCAAGGAGAAATTTTAAAAATTCAAGGAGATTTGGTCAAGAAATTCATGCTGAAAGCTTATTTCCGATAGGCCAACACTTGTCCGAAAGGAATTATAGTTTTGATTTTCTGACAAAAATTTTGTTCATATCTGATCCGTCAGCACAGTATGAGAATGACATTGATAAATTAGCCCATACTTACAATTCTACTGTACATAAGAACATGTTAAAGAGGAGGAGGAGGAGGAGGAGGAGGAGGA